TGATGAGCATATTCAAAGGCGGTGTGATCTACTGACAATGCGTATCTCTCTATATATAGGGACAGGAGTGGGGGAAAAGTAGGGCAGGTGAGAAACACGTTGGCGGGGGGCTAGGGGAAGTATGCAGGGGGAAAAGGTGGGGGGATGTGGGGCAAGGGGGAAAGGCTCACACATATGCATGAATTAATAAAAAGCTACGATTATAAACTTGCTGAAATTAATTTTGGATGTCACAGCTCAAGCCATAATATGCACATATTGAATGATTTAATGTTTGTTATCACTATTTTTTATAATTAACTATTATTCTGTATATCATTGTATTAAGAGCATTTATTATAGTCTTATTAGAGTCTTGTCTCACGTTGAAAATTGGAATAAGTATATATACGAGTTGGTTGTTAGTACCATTGAATAGTTTAAGTTTTGGGGTCAAATCACGAATCACTAGATTCGTTACGGTTAGTATCAGAGTCAGACCTAATCCTTGATCTGGTATCACGCCAAGCATCGACACTGAAGAGTCGGGGTAAGCCCATCCGGATAAGTAAAATAGTCCGACCATAGTAAGGGTGTTGCGAATTCGGATTGAAAGTAAAACTAGCATATTTAAGAAATTCAACTTATTTTTTTGAATTGATCAGCTCTAATTTTCATTAAGTGAATGTAGTTAGAGAGAAGCTAACTTTGTTCCAAAATCAGGTAATTAATTAATTAATCAACCACTTTGAAACAACACCCTAAATGGTAGACATATGTGGATGAATTTGACATCAATCAGTCAAGCAAGACATGTCTCGCAAGAAGGGTTAAATTAAAATTTAACCAAAATCTTGTTAATTAGTTCATTTGAGCTGTGATGTTGAATTAAAGCCGATATCACTCTCCACACTACTTTCAAAGCCTCTATGGCTTTCGTGACACGTCCTCCACTTGGTCCTTCTTCACTCGCACGTCCTTCAGTTGGAGCGGTGATGTTGGAGGCCACTTGTGACAACCCAAGTTTTTCAACCCGGTGCGTTAATGATAACCCAAAAGTTGACCCGATAACGGATCCGAAATACGGAAACAAAAGATAAAACTATAGTCTTTTGAGATGTAAATTATCTCTAAGACACCAATGTGACATTCCATGAGGTCACGGAACTTGAGGAGAGCGAAAGAGGAAACTAGAGTTAAAACGGGCTAAATTCGTTAATTAAGGGCAAAATGGTCAATACACAATTAAAAGGAGAAAATTGACTCTAAACAAGTCAAACAAGGTGAATACAACCTAATCTAATCATTATACAACATTCCAAGAGGTTCCAAGAACATTGGCCAAGAATTCCACACAATTGCCCTTTCTTGGTTTAAGCGAAAATTGACACTACCTCACTAAAACATGAGTAACTCCTACTGTGATTGGAATATGAGAATGACATAGGTACCATTGGAAAGCTGACTCAAAATACTTGAGTTAAAGCTTAAGAATCACCCCATTTGGATTAGAAATGAAAAAGTTATGACCCTTTGAAGTTGAAACTTCAGTGCTGAAACATAATCTGGAAGGCTGGCGTATGAGGGTTGTTTCGGTCGATCGAACTGGAGTTTCGGACGACCGAACTGAGCATAAATTTGATGAAAACATGTTTTTTTGAGAGGGGTTTGTTTCAATAGACCGAAATGACCCTGAACAATGCAAAAGCCTATTGGAATGAGTGATTTTTACTGTATAAAGAATTTTCCAAAATAACCCGCCAAACATCGACACAGAAGAGTCCAGGTGAGCCCATCCGGATAAGCAAAATAACCCAACCGTAGTACGGGTGTTGCGAGTTCAGATTGAAAGTAAAACTAGCATATTCAAGAAATTCGGCTTATTTTTTTTTGAATTGATCAGCTCTAATTTTCATCAATTAAATGTAGTTAGAGAGAAGCTAGCTCTGTTGCAAAATCAGGTGATTAATTAATTAATCAGCCAATTTGAAATAACACCCTAAATGGTAGACATATGTGGATGAATTTGACATCAATCAATCAAGCAAGACATGCCTCCCAAGAAGGGTTAAATTAAAATTCAACCAAAATCTTGTTAATTAGTTCCCGTTTAGTTTAATTGCTTGCAAAATGAAAGCTTAATAAATGAGTTCCCGAGGGTACCAAAATAAAAAATAAAAAATAAAAAATACTGTCCATGTGAACAGTACCCGCAGGAACTGTTCCCAGGGCAAATAAAATAAAATAAAATAAAAGTTACATTCCCAAAGCTAGACGAGCATGCTTGGGAATGGGGGGCAACTGATTGGGAAAAATATACCTAACCTACTTTGACCAACCGTCAGACCTCTTCGACTTTCGAATGATAATATTTCGTTATCAAAGATAAAGATTTTCATCGGATAAGAATGATGACATTTCTTATCCAGAATAATGAAAGACGACGTGATTCAACCGGGTAAAAATAACTTTGGCACAATTTGAGAAAATCAAAGGAGTAAATCATATCTCGACAAATTTGGCAACAAACGATCTCCTTTGATCTCGCACAAACGGATCTCCTTTGATCTCGCAAATGAACTAAGGGAAAGCGGCTATAAGAATGAGATCCTACCCGTCAATAAAGGTACGACAAAAAACTATTATTAGATCACTGCCTTCTCTTAGGCCTCCGGTGACTGACTTGATCATCGAAGAGCTCTTGGCGAGCACCACACTTGTGCCGTCAAGATTCATCGATCTTCTACTCTCTTCTTTACAGAAAAACGATATCGTATCGGACCGTGTGAATTTCACCCTCAACATGATTAATACCTAATCCGATCCGTGGCCATCCCTAGTGATTAATTTATGCATACAAAATGAAAAAAAAAAAAAAAGAAAAAAAAGAAAAAGAAAAAGAAAAAAGAATTAAGGGGTGTCTTTTTCCCACTAAGGAGGCCCATATGATTCCATAAGTGATTATATATGTTGACTACTTTGATTTTTTTATTTTTCCTGGCTATTGACTTCTTTGAGTCAAATATGACAACTTTGTTTTGTTTTGTTTTTTTTTTTTTTTTTTGAGAAGTAAAATTCATTGAAGGGGAGAATGTGTACAAGCCATGAGGGAAAGCCCACAAAACGTGGACAGCACAATCCATCAAACAAACAAAAGAAGATACAGGAGCCCAAACTTACACCTAATACTTTGTTTTGACAGTAGAAAAGAGCAAAGCAAGTTGGTTGAAAAATGTCCATTAAGGAAAATTGTGGTCAAGCATGGTCTCAAATTGTCAAGACTGGCGACCAGAATCCAAAGACACATGCTTATATATATTAAAATGAAAATTAATACCAACAAATCCGCTGTTGCCAAACAAACTGAGGATTAAAACTCCCCCGGAGATTCCGGGTTCGAGTCCTGGCAGTGTTTAATTTTAATATAAATTAAGTTATACTCTGATTGTTCTAAAAAAGAAATTCATTTCACTAATCCAATTATATTGCCCCATATAGAAGATCCAAAAAGGATTGAAAAATGAGTATAAGTGTAGTAAACTGCAAAATTGGAGTTCATATGAAACTCTACTTGTACTTTAAAATTATCAATATATATTAAAAAAATTACAGTTATTTTGATTTAAAAAGTTGCAAATGATTGTAAAAATAAAAGGGGTTAAAAATTCAAGATATCTAGCATACCACATTCACTTAAATAATGCTTTCTTGAAAAAAAAAAGAAGAAGAAGAAGAAGAAGAAGAAGAAGACATGGATGCATAGTGAGAGACTTTGAGAATTTTCAACTCTTTTCTGTTAACATGCTATGTTATGTCATGATTCTTTAAAATAAAATCTTTAACCACGAGTAAAGTAATTAATAATATTGTTTTTACTTAATTATGTGATATATATATATATATATATATATATATATATATATATATTGTTAAGTGAGCAATAAATTTATTATTTTATATTAGTAATGATACATTCAGAACAATCACAATATGTCAATTAGAAAAACATGTATGGAGTGAAAAGTTCACGAGGTGATGTCATGTGGTAGACCTCACATAACACTCATAATTTGACGTTTAAATACACTCGTAAACCAACAAGACAATCTCATTTATGTTGTCTTGACAGCTTCTAATTTTGATTTGGATAGTCTTTTCTGATGGTGGGAAAACAGTGGATGCGTAATTAATTATATATGTTTGTTGGTGCTTCAAGAAATAATAATAATAAACACTAAAATTCAGCAATTTTTTTAATTTTTGAAAATCACACTAGCATCCGCAAAAGAAGGTTTCGTTTGATTAGCATGAATTAGTAGTAGTCAAAAATGGAAAGAAATGAATTTTTTTTTTTTTTGAAAAAAAATTAGGGATATGGTTAACGTTCAAATGATAGTTTTCAAGAAAATAAAATTACCGAAAATTTTAATTTTCCATGAAAATTATATCATTATATTATAGTTTTCTATTAAGCCCTTGTGTTTTTCTTCTTTCTTTTCCAAACTCACGAAAAAAATGAGTTTTCTTCGTGATAAATTTGGACTATGTTATTAGGTTACATCTTCTTACCTTTTAAATTTCTCCATCTCACAAATGAAATAAACTAATTTAATATAAAAAAAGTCTTAGTATATTATGCAAATTTTCAACACAAAAAAAAAAAAAAAAAAAAAAAAAAAAAAAAAAAAAGAGCCCTAAAGAACCAATTACCATATAGGTATTTGAACATCTATATGTACATTCATAAACCCAATTTTATATACATATATTTATACTTTATGCCTATTGCATGTTGTATATTCCTTAGTATGGAGCTCTATTTTATTTTTTATGCCTATTGCATAAAATGTAAATAAACTTTAAACCTAAAATTTCATTGGTATATAAATTGATAGAAGAACTAATGTGAAATTGCACCGATTGGACCTAGAAATCTATACTGGACCAATTGAAATTATGAATGAATTTCCAGCAAATAGATTATATATTTTTAGAATGGAACATAAATCCGCCCTAGCCAACATACCAAGAGATATTCAACTTGTCTAGGTTGTACCGATATCGAATCCCGGAAGCGGAATTTTTTGTTTTTTTTATAGCCTTCCTTATCGTGATGTCCGTCGAACTCCAATAATCAACTTGGCTAAATAGTTCGGTTTGTAGCCTTAATTTATGTACTCACAATCGACCGTTGGAGAGTAGAGACAGAAACAATGGTGATCCTGAGAAAGAGAGAGAGAGACCGAACCCTAGAAACTCCATCGAACTCCAATAACCAGCGATAATGGCGAAACCCGGACACAGGCCAAGGAAACCCACAAGGTTTCAGGCTACGAGCGGTCCAGAGAGGAGATAATCAGAGAGAACCATAAATCTCGGCATTGTCGATCTCCCTGAAACTCAACTCTCTCAGTTCCCCTCAGCATCTCTCTCCTCTGCCGCTGCCTTCTGGACCCCCTCACCACTCTTCCCGGTACTCCATTGCCTCATTTCCACCCATATATAGCTGATTGATTGTCTGTTCCAGTTTAGCTTATGGATATATTTCACTTTGATTGTTATTGTTGTTTTCTAGTCAGTATTTTATGGGTTTCTAAGGATGGGGTCATTTGATTTTATTAATATTGATTTTTTGTTTTTGTTTTTGTTTTTGTTTTTGTTTTTGTGTTTTTGGGGTAACTAAGAATTAACCTACCTGCTAGCCACTTTGGCATATCCCATGGTTTGCAAACTTCCAATATGTACAATCACTTGCAAATCATGTAAGCCCGGGTGTTTTGATTTAAACCTAAACTCGAAGTAGAGAGACCTAAAGAGTAACCCAATAGAGCTGCCTGTGTGGGCTTTGATTAATATAGATCTTAGACCATGAATAAGTAAAGAATGGGTTTTTGGTAGTTATAATGCTGTAGTTGGTCCTCAATGATTTTTTTTTTTTTTTTTGTCAAGTTAATCACACACACACTCCAGACTCGAACTCTCAACAAAGTTGAGTTATACCATCGTGACCATCATCTCAATGCTAATGTCATATCATCTCAACAAAGTTCCCTTGGCATCATTCCTAGCCAGCAATTCCCTCTTGACTCACAAAACCAAAACCTCTTTGAAATCCCAATTACATGTCAGTACATAGCATGGTGAATATCCGCTTAAATGGCTGGTATGTAGTAGTGTGGAATGTTCTACCTAGAGGGTTCTTGGTTTTCAGCGGTTCTCAAGTTGTTGTGTTGATCAGTTTTTGCAAATAGGGTATTTTTCGATGTTGACAAGTATAGAGGGAAGTTTTAGTTGTGTTTTGAACTTTTATATGAATTGAATTAATGTTGATAAAGCTGTGCATTGGTATTTTTCTCCCTTTTGGTGGGAACTAGGATTCTGCAACACCAGTTAGCTTCTCTGAAGCACCTTTGGCTAAGAAAGATAAATCTTTGGATGGTGAAGTTGATTTAATAGGGGAGGGATCCAGGCCAGAGGTTTACACAGAAGAACATGAAAAGCTGCTGGGAAGCATTGAGACTCTATTTGTAGATGGATGGGACAAGGATGGGAGGCGAATTTATGATCAAGTCAACGGAAAAACTTGCCATCAGTGCAGGTCTGGGGTTTTATCCACAAAATTGGTTTACCTAGGTTGAAGTGCATTTCATTTTTTGCATATTGTTAAGAATTTCTTTACAAATCCATATTCTGAAAGATTGTTGGGGAAAGAAATACCTCTGTTTTGTATGATTATGTAATATGTATAGAATCATTGAAATGCCTTCCTTAAACATGTAGGCTTGACTTTGCTGGATTCTGTATAATCATCTTCATTCATACATTTTGGCAAGGACTATATTTGAGCATCTTTATTCACTTGTCAAAGTTAGTAGCTAGAAAATTGCATCAGGTGTTGTTTAAGTTGAGTTCTATTATTACTAATTTCATTCTCTTGGTATATATATATATATTATTAACTTCATTTCATTGAGAATTTGGATTAGCCTATGAGGATGCTTTCCTTGCTTTGAAGCTTGATGAAGAGGGTTTTTGAATTTTCTTTTAAATTTTTTGAGATCATGTTGATCAATTAAGCTAACTATGGGGTTTTATCAGATTAGTTTGAGCTAAGTTCGTCCATTTCCATATTACTTTTAGTATTGATCTTACCATATTCATATCTTTGTACTTCTTCTTCTTCTTCTTTCTATTTTTTTATTTTTTATTTTTATCAGGTAAGTACTCACACACACATTGTCCACGCCCGGGCTTGAACTCCTCCCCTCCTCTTTGAGGATATCTTTTAAAATTTTGCGATTTAAGGTCAGAAGTATTTGTTCTAAAGTTAAAGTTGTTTAATAGTTTTATAATAGTGTTTCTATTTCTAATTTAACTAGGCTAGGAATCTTAGTGGTTTCCTTAGTTAATTCTGATATTAGGAATAAAGCAAACAGACTAAGATTTGATTCAAATCAATTTATTAATATTTAAAATGAATCCCTTATTTTTATTTTTATTTTTTGGATATTGTATTGTTGAAATATTTGATTTCAAAGGTCACCGATTTGCATTCCCCATTAACTTTTGCCCTGGACCGTAGATTGTTATTCACTTCTACTTATTGATGAATTTCCCAAGCTGTTTTGCAGGCAGAAAACCCCTGGTCATCGTACTCACTGCAGCAAATGCAACTTGGTTCAAGGACAGTTTTGTGGAGATTGTTTATATATGAGGTATATATTTAATTATTTCATAAGAACAATATTAAGCTCCCATGCATCAACCTCAGTTTAATCCTTCTTTATACTTTTTATAATTTTAAAATTTGTAAAATGCATGGCAGGTGTCTGAAGAGATCATATATTATTATATGATCCATAGTGCCATACTTCCAGTATATTATGTGGTATTCAGTTTTCAATCGCCAAGCAATGCCAATCCCCCCTTCACTTTTATCACCTTCTGGAATTTGCTAGATTTTATTAACTTTCTCATCTTTATTTTATGTTGGTAATCTTTACTCAGATCCACCCTCAACTGCTAATGAACATATTATTTCTTGGTTGCCCTACTTTTAGGTTATATAATCGTTTAAGCAACACTATGATGATTTGGCTTGCCTGTGTTACTCGGACTAGGGTACGGATGCGTATCTAGGGATCGGATTTGTCAATCTATCAAATTATAGGATACACGCATTCGGCTAAAAAATGTCCAATATTTCTTGGACGCATCTAAGGAAAAAAATTGTATGATTTTTTATGCATAATTTTCTTTACATATAGATACCACATGCGCTTTCTTGTTCTCCTTTTATACAGTTGTAACCAATGGTTTACAGCTGTAGATAATTACTCTTCTTAAGAGGCTAAAAGTTTACATCCGAATGGACCTATGGCATCATCTTGATCATTAAAAACAGGGCATCCAAAAACATATTGGTCAATAGTCATGCTAACGTGTGAAAACGGGCTCAGCCAGGCACAAAAAATTGGGCATAGATAGTGCGTGCGTAGACACGAAAGTCATCTTCAACCTTTCCAAGATGCTATTTTCGAACCAGACCACCATTTTTGAACCAGTGAGCTTCCTAACACCGTGAATGGCAGCCTATTTAACAAATAAAGCATGAAATTTTTCCCCAATTCTTCACTAGCATCAACCACCCACACATCCTTTTGTTTGGTTTTGTCACCAGTCGTGTCTGGTAGACAAGATGCAGAGTCCAACTCATATCCTGTGTCCATGTTGTGTCGTGTCGACAAGGACACTCTGGTTGACATCAGCGATTCTGGTAACATAGGATTTGGCCAGGATTGAATTATTTTATTTCTTCAGTGAATGGGATTGAATTTTATTTATTTATTTTTTGTGGGTTCATGCTGAGGCTAAGGATGAAAAGAGGTATTACTCGGGATATAATGAGAGTCACAAGTCCTTGCAAAGGTGGAAGCCAAGTCGAGCCTTTGAGAAAGAGAGACCATGGCAGTCTGATAGTGACCACCGACTCCTCGACGTCAAGGCTCTACAGGGGAGACTCAGAGAGGTGAAAGAGTTGGCTTAAGGGATTATCAAGGTCTTTAGTGAATTACTGAGTTAGTTGGGGTAGGGTTGGCGAGTGAAGATCTTTAGGCCTCTATAATTCTAGGTCAAGCTCTATTTATGGTGCCTGAGCTGATCAACAGAAAAAGTTATACGCGTCTTCTTTGCAGCTTTCTAAGACAAAACTTAAGTGGCTCTAAGTTTTCTTGCTAGGGACACTATTTAGGAATGGCTGATGATTACCTGCTGAGATTAGGTGGATACTTAATGAAGTATAGTGTTCATAATGTGATAAGACACCATTTAAAGAGGCCAGTTACAATATTCTGTAAATGGGTAATCACATGGTACTGTCTGATCATTCTGTGAGTTGGTGATCTCTCTCTTTGTTTGAGCATGATTGATGTATGTGCAAGGTTTAAGGAGTGGCTGGCAATTCATAAAATTTATTGAAGTGTTTTACAGGAGCTTATCCTTAGTAAGAAGGTCCTCATGATTGATATTCTTCGAGTCTTCAGCAAGATTTTTCTCTAGAGAGTTGGGTACATTGTGATGAAGCTTATCTGGGGAGAAGAGGTCCTCGCTTTAATCTTTAAATTATGGATATTAGCCACACAGCCATAGGCCGTGTCGTGTGCCTATAAAGAAGGCAAGGAGTCTCATTTGCGTCGAGGAAGTCCTCATGATAGTCGCCTATAAAGAAGGCAACGAGTGTTATTTGTAGCGAGGAAGTCCTGGTAAGTCTTTAACTGAGATATATCATTGTGAGGAAGCCCTTGAGAGTGTTGCCTGTGGAGAAGGTAACGAACCTTAACCATAATAAGGTCTTTGTGGTTAGTTATCTGCAGAGAAAAGGTCTTTGCTCAGTATAATTCCGGATGAGGCTTATTTGAAGAGAAGAAGGCTTTGCAAATACAAATACCTATTCAGTTGGCTACGGATCTATCGGAGTTTGCTGGAGATAATTTCCTGTGAGAAAAGACTTTATACTTTATAGAATGCCCTTGACTGTAACCCTTCACTTCAAACGAGTCAATAATAGCCCTGTCTGAGAGCTCATTCAATTGGACATTAGTTACTTAATGACAAATAGTAGTTGTAACTGATGAAATTATGAAATTGAAAAATTGCAACCAGATCATCAGGGTTGTTGAGAGGGTCTCTCCCAATACAATACCTTGACCTCAACTTACAACTGAGGTACATGTGGTGTTATGGAAAAGGGATGCTGATAGTATCTGGCTTAACTAGGAAAATATATATATATATATATATATATATATATATATATACATATATATATATATTGTATCTGGCTTCATTTGAAGTTAGCACTTGAGTGTGTCTCGACCTTCCAGTACATTTTATCATGATGCTGCCATGGCTCACAAGTCAGGTTAAAGTCACTTATTCGGACACCACTAGTAATAGCTCATGAGTAATGCATGGTGTTACCAGGCTTACCTCTCCCATGATGTGTATAATGTCTTTGATGTTTATATATATTGTAAATCAAATGTTTGTTAATATCCATAAAAAGGTAAACGATTAGTCCAAATTTAAATGGGAGTGATTAGTTTTGTTAATAAATGCACCGTGGTATATAATTTTTTGTAGCCGCAAGCCTAATTGTGGTACCAAACCATGTTCAGTCAAGTAAAGCTTGTCTTAGGCTGGGAAATCACCAAGCTCAAATGGTTTGTGTTGCCCCGAGTATTGACTCCAGGGGGGTTGAATAGAATCTATAGCAAACAATGGCCAATTTTCAGTTTTGCAAATTTTACTAAAATCCTTCTAATAATTATGCACTTATCAATATATAGACATAAGCAATTAATAGCATAAATGTAAATGAGACAAGGGAAGAGAGATTTGTAAACATTCACACAACAATTTTAGTGAGGTTCGGAATCTCTTACTCTTCGGAACTTCACAATTCAAGAAGGGTAAGGCTTGTTAACCTGGAATAGTAGCAGAATGGGTGACTCCTATTCTTACTCCTCGGCTCAAGACCCTTCTTGAGACTTCCCAATCCAAGAAGGACGAGAGTTGTGAACCTGAAATAGTAATAGAATGGGTGACCCCTGAAAAATCAGGGTGAGAGTTGTTAGGTTTTGACATCGGACAATTTTCAGCATTATAAAATAAAAATGGTATGATGTTCGGATTAATTTAACTCAATTTCAAACTCAAAGCTTGAATTGGGAAATCGTGACTGAATTGTCCACCGTTAGCTTAACGTCCATCTTTATGTTGTCATGCCGAGAGCATGAGATGGATTGAGTTGGTTACGTTTTGTACAACTAATGAAATGCCCACTCTATTTTTTTATGCTCTTTCCAAGGTCTGTTTAGTCTCATAAACTATGAATGAAAATTAAGGAATGAGCTTTTATTTATTTATTTTTCGTATTAGAGAATTAAAATAAGATATATTAGGACAAAATTGACCTCATAAAACGTGTACATATATATACATTATGTAAAACAGTATATACTCCAAAAAGTAATATGTGATATATAGCACATTTTACATATAATAATAAACTGCAATATTATAATTCAAGGAGATAGTCTATTGACTAAATTCTCATATCACATTTTGAAGGTTGAAATTTCTCAAAAAAAATTATTTTGATAATAAATTAATTGGTACGTGAGATAAGAGAGACCGTAAGTGTTCGGTGGTGAATTATAAAATCCTCTAAAGAAATATCAAGGTGTACTCTTCCATCGACAATAAAACAAAATAATTAACACATTAATAAAATTTATTAATATATTATATAATAAACTAGAAAATGTATGAAAAACTTCCGCTTTCACTCTCTCAAAATGAAATTACAAATGAACCCTTATCACATACAAGTATAATTTTTAATACCATAATTATCCTTCCTTATTAAAGTGAGACTTTTTTTAATTCATTCACGTTGTATCTCATTCACTTTCTATCCTCTATATGGACTCTTTTATAAACCTATTTTACAAGGTATGTTGATAGCTAGAAAACCTATCACATAAGGTAGTTGATAACTTGGGTCTCTAGTATTGCTACTCTTTGCATATTTCTTATTAAATTGTGTGTATAATAACTTGATGATAATATTCATGACATACTGTAACAATATACCTAAATTTACTTCAACCGATGAAAAGCAATATATATAGAACGTTAAGTTTTTTTTTTTTTCTTCTTAATTTCTATATATTCTCTTCTAAACTCAAACAAACTTTTTTCCATACAACATTGTGTCTATTTGAGGAAAATTAAACTTTCTTTTAATTTTAAATTCAATTAAATATTTTTCTATAATGAGATAGGATCTATTTATTGATATGCAATTTGTTTCTAATTCAAATATCCTTTATTATCCTAATCACATTATATTCTAATGAAAAAAATAGAACAAAAGTAAGAAATTAGAATGATTTGTAGATTTTTTAACAAGTTCAATAACTCATTCTAACTAAGACACTATATCATTTGTAAGATCTTCTATTTTTGCAGAGGGAGAGGAGGAGAGATGATTGGAGGTAACGTGTGAGGAGTTGCATAATCCAAGTGCTGAAGAATTCTACCTTTTGGCACCCAGAATCCTAACCCTAAAAGAAAGGGCAGTTGTGGAATTAAAAATTATAAAAATAAGCTTGAGGTGATGTGAGGGTTACTTTGTAATTTTAATTTAGGAAAAAGAGAAAATAGAGTGTCTTAGAATTATAGTAGAGTGCCAAATATGAATTCCCAATAAATAAATAAATAATCAAAAACAAGTTTCAGAGCCGTATTAAAATTTAAAATTTGAGTGATATACTACAATGATGTTGATTTTTATCAACCATTTCAAAAGATGAAGTTCAACAAAAACTTTGTCATATGGTAAATTTTATCTTTTTCATTAAAGTTTTATACATACAAGATGAAAAATAAAAGAAAGTTTATCTTTTTGGTTAAAATTTTATACATGCAAAGATGAAAAAAAAAAATGTTTCATTTTCTTTTTTTAAAAAAAGAAAAATAAAATATTAAGGGGTGTCTTTTTCTCCCTACGCCCCACATGACTCCATCAGTGATTATATATTGACTAGTAACTACTGATTCAAATATGACAACTTTGTTTTGACAGTACATAAGAGCAAGCAAGTTGGTTGAAAAATGTCCACCAAGGACAATTGTGGTCAAGCATGGTCTCAAATTGTCAAGATTGGCTACCAGAATGGAAGGACTTTTTATTTGGAGGGATTTAA